GCTCAGCCACAGTGCTCTTTGGGTTCTTCTTTACCTCTCTCACCAAGGCTTTTCTCCCCCGATAGCTCAGTTTGGCTGGACGGCCAGCTCTAGTAAGGGTTCTGGTCGTCCCAAACGTCTTCCATTTAAGGAATGGATGCCACTGTGCTCTTGGGAACCTTAAGTGCAGCAGATGTAACCTTGTAACCTTGGCCAGATCTGTGCCTTGCCACAATTCTGTCTCTGAGCTCTTCAGTCAGTTCCTTTGACCTCCATTTGCTCTTTTGCTCTGACATGCACTGTGAGCTGTAAGGTCTTATATAGACAGGTGTGTGGCTTTCCTAATCAAGTCCAATCAGTATAATCAAACACAGCTGGACTCAAATGAAGGTGTACAACCATCTCAAGGATGATCAGAAGAAATGGACAGCACCTGAGTTAAATATATGAGTGTCACAGCAAAGGGTCTGAATACTTAGGACCATGTGATATTTCAGTTTTTCTTTTTTAATAAATCTGCAAAAATGTCAACAATTCTGTGTTTTTCTGTCAATATGGGGTGCTGTGTGTACATTAATGAGGAAAAAAAATTAACTTAAATGATTTTAGCAAATGGCTGCAATATAACAAAGAGTGAAAAATTTAAGGGGGTCTGAATACTTTCCGTGCCCACTGTAAATACAATACAGATTAAATATAAAATACAACTATACAAATAAGGTAAAATGTAAAAAAATATTTATAAAAGCAGCACAAGGCACATGGCAGATAGAGTGCAAACCAGTGACGTAACAACAGTGCAGATATAATGATTTGTAGTGCAAAGAGCTTATGTGTTCTGTGTGAACGGTTTGGTTTCAGTTTTAATGTAAACAAGATCTTCTTCGCGTTGATGTTCTCTTTTCCCGCAATATTTTTAATGAACAATGCAGCAGCGCCGCATCTAGTGACTTCAACTGGACAGGCTAACAAAAACATTATAATGCAACGACACTTGCATCGTCATCGCATCTCGTGCGCCGCTGAGAAGGCTGCCTGACGCACACCTAAAATTCGAATGCAACGTGTGCAGAGCATGTGAGCGGTGTGACGCTCCGCTCCGTTTTCCGCTCTATGGACGTGCGCTCCGCTCAGTCGCTCTAACCGCACAAGCAAGCGCTCCGTTAATATTCCGCTCACGCTCACCGTGAACCAATTCCCGCTCAGATCCCGCTCCGACATAATATTTCTCTAGTAGGCCTAATTGTTTACTGTTTGTAACGAAATTCTTGGATTATTGTCTAAAATTAAGCACGCTGATAAATAGCAATTATCATGTTTCAGAGCGAAATTCTTACATTATTCTTAATTTTATTAATTTGATTAAATATATGAATCTAACCTTCCGAAATATAATAATTCGTTCCACGATTTAGGCCTACTATAGGGAATGAACGAATTAACGAACTAATGAATTCGTGGCAGCTAAGCCTAAACAAGAGAACAAATACTTAATTCGTGGCCATAAATTAGACTAAACGAAAAAATAAATACTTAATACGTGGCCATAATGTAGTCCTAGCATAAAAGAGAACTAGCCTATTCTAAATTTGTTGGCCGTGATTGTCTGCATGTCATGATCGGGGCTCCGTACAACCGAATATAACCTTTATATATAACCTTTGTTTATTCCTTTATTATGGTATGTAACTAGCTCACCTTTTGCGGCACCATGTTTGCGTAGCACATCCTCGTGCTTTCTGGCAATGTGCCGCTTCAGATTCCAATATGAATCTTTACTAACTCTCCCCGCACTCCCTCTCAGTTTCTTCTCCCTGCTCATTCTTAACTTCGATTTTTTACTTTACATTTATGTATAAGGCTTGCAACTTCGTTGAAACAATATCTGAACTCCATAACTGCTCTACTATTCTCGATCTCGAACAAGCAAATCACCAAACGGCATTCTGGGTTGAGCGAGCGGCGCTGAGCGTTTTGCGCTCACGCTCCGCTCCGCTCACATGCTCTGAAGTGTGTGTTTAAATTCGATGAATATTCGAAATTCGAATTGTTTTTTGACAGCCCTAGTGTGTGTTATATAGGCATTACCTCTTATACCAAGCAATGATTTCAGTTGGTACATTCCATGAATAGGGAACAAATAAAAGGAATCTATTATATGTTAGATTAAACACATGAGAAATGCCCTCTCGCTTTCAACTGCTTTTAGTTTTTATTAAAACTGCTTTTAGTTTTTATTTTTGCTTTTTGTTTCCAATGACTAAAGTAATACAGATTTTGACACAAACTGTTGAATTTTCAGATCATTTAATAAACAATGGCAAAACATATTTACATATGTCAGAGATTTAATCTGCTTAATTTTCTCCCATTAGAAAATGTTGCACTACTTTAAATTGTTACACCCAAAATCATTTGGACAACATGATGGGGTAACAAGTAAATATTAATTTTAGAATTTAGTATTTAATTACAGAATTAATTACCAATATTTTTTTAGATCAATTTATCTTTTATTTATGGTAAATACATTAATATCTTGTCCTATTTAAATAGGCCAGAATGAGTGACTGGATAATTTAGGCTACTAAATGAATTTTAGTTTCATTACTTTCGAGTCTGTTACCAATTTTGGTGTATTTTTATTGTATTTATTTAATTTGATCGATTTAATTTTTTAGTTTTGTAATGCCTATTTAATGTTTATCGTTGAACTGAAAACACACAGCAGAGTTTTGAACTGTGTTCAGATTCAAAGCAAATTAAGAGCTGCTCTTTGCTGAAAAAGAAAAAAAGATGTAGTTTCCATTGCTGTGTTGCCTCCCTTGTTTTATAATGGAATTCCCTGCTGATTATTTTGTGAATTATGTCTTCTCATCTTTTTTGCAGCTCTTACACCAGGTCCTGGTGAGTCTTGTCTGTTTTGCATATAAACAGCGCTAATATATTATACCTATTTTGTCTTTGTCTTGTCTTTGATAAAAAAAAAAGTTCCTGTAAATTTAGTAAATATTTATATTCATATTTAGTCATGTTCATTCATTTGACTTTTTCATATTTAAGTTCAGTCAATGTGCAAAAGATGCAAGGTCAGCTGAAAATGATCATTGGTCAGTTTAGTTGAGCTTTTCTATGCTCAGACCCATGCTTCGGGAGAGTGTGCGATGTATGAAGGGACATTATGCTGGTCATGTCTTGTAGAGTATCTGCGTAGCATATCTCTTCCCGTTCCCGTTGTGGTCGAGGACACCAGCAGCAGCAGCGACTATGGATCCGTCTCACCTGACAATGAGCTCTGCACAAACCCCTTCAGCTTCAAGCCTAGCACCAAGTGCTACAGCGAGAGAGAGGTCAAAGGTCACCGCTCCCTCTTCCTGAGGTCAGCAGAGAGTATGAAGATTCATTCCAGCGTAGATAATGCCCTGTTGTGTTGCAGTGTACCATTTGTTTTGCATCGAGTAGAAAACCTAAATGTAAAGTCGTGTTGCCGACTTTACATTTATTTTTTCTACTTGTTTTTTTAGGTCGCACACCCATTTGAGATTGATGTGCGTGCTTTTGTTTGCATTTTTGCATCGAGTGCATCTACTTGTAGTAAATCTAGTAGTAAAAGTATCCTCCTCCACACATTGTTGCAGTATTCCTGTGGAGAACTTTGAAGACCACAGCGCACCACCTTCCCCAGAAGAGAAGGACTCTGGTTTCTTCATGCTGAGGAAAGACAGTGAAAGGAGAGCGACTTTACACCGAATCCTGACTGAGGACCGAGAGAAAATAGTGCTTCACCTGCTAGAAGCGCTCACACAGGTGAACCCGAAAACAACATCTTTGTGAAACCTTACTACGTATATGAAATAACCGTTTTATAAAAGCAATAAGCCCCGTGAAGCCGTGGTTTACAGTGATTTTATAACAGCTAAGGGGGTTTTAGGCACGACGCGACAACGCCACTTAGCTGTTCTTAGTGCAAGTACAACATCAGAGAAATAATTATTTTTAATAAGATTGTGTTCATGCAGTCCTATGACATCTTTAAGTGCTTTGTGTCCCTTTTCTGTCTCAATACAGGGGTCTGAGGAGACCAAACTGAAGCATCAGCATGTCTCCACGCTGGTTACAAGTCTGGGAGATTTTGTGAGGATGGCGGACAGAAAAATAATTGCCAGCACCCTCTCTCAGCTCAAACTAGAGCTTGACTTTGACAGCACAGCGATCAGCCAACTCCAGGTGGCGCTCTTCAGCTTCCAGGATGCGGTGAGTGTCTAGCCAAAGCCATCTGATGAACTGCACTCACAAATATTGCCCAAATGTCATAGTCAAAAAACCGTCAGTAGTGTAGCGATGTATAAAGCACTGTTCACGCAGAAGTCACTTTCAAACCAAGCAGCTTTCTGTCGGTCAATGCAGCAAATTCATGAAATCTGCATGGGGAACTTTTTTTGCCCTTGTGCGAAACTGAAATGAATGGAATTTGCAGGCGAAATTTCACAGAGCAACGGTAAATGTGATCGCACCTTAATTAATCTCTTAACCTCTAATCTTTTTGCATTCTAAATATTTGTTTTCTTTTTATTTATTATACAATTAACAAAAGCAAAAAAGGCCTCTAACACTAGCTTGCTCTGTTCTTTTTCTATTCTATCTGTTTTCTTTTTATTTATTATATAATTTTAAAAAAACGTGCTACGTGTACTGCATGAAGCTAACAGTCACTTGTCATAGCACTTGTATAGCAATGCTCTTTTGTTGATTTTGATTGCTTCCATTGTCCTCTAGGGCTGTCAAAAAAAAATTCGAATTTCGAATATTCGTTGAATTAAAAAAAAAAATCCACATTTTAGGTCTGCGTCAGCCATCAGGCAGCCTATCAGCGGCGCACGAGATGCGATGACGATGTAAGTGTCATTGCATTTGAATGCTTTTGTTAGCCTGTCCAGTTGAAGCCACTAGATGCGGCGCTGCTACGTTGTTCATTCAATATATTGCTGAAAACGAGAGCATCAGTGTGGAGAAGATGTTGTTTACGTCAAAACTGAAACCAAGCCGTTCACACAGAACGCATATTTATCACATTTTCTAGAGGGACATCTATCAGCGTTGCACTCGCGTCTCGCACAAGAGAGCCGCATGTTTAGAAAGCCGTGTAAAATTAATGCAAGTTCAACTTTTAAAAAAACATGTTTAAAGACTTTATGGAGGTTTTTCCCCATCCCACTGTATCTCATGTTTTTAAATGAAGAAAGTAGCCTACTCTTTGTGATTGGTTTTCAGTCCTTTGTATTAAACTATACATACATGCATGGTGCTGTTTTTTTTCTAATTGTTTAAGCAACTTTATTAATTATATATGGTTTATAAACATTATTTTAAACATAATGCACTTTTTTCCCCCCAAAGATAGTCGTGTTATTTTATTACGCTTTGAAGAAACGTGCATAATATTTTGCTCGATGCGCCCTCTTGTGGCCTCAGGAGAGAAGCCAAAAGCTTTTTCCCCCTAACTGAAATTATGCCTTTAATATAATTCTAATTTAGTTTTTCAGTCTCACGCCACACACAGTGAAAAATACATCGTGGTGCAAGGAGGACACTGATAACGCTCCGACAGACAAAACAGAGCAGGTTCCTTCTGGTACGAAACAAAGTGTTAGCTTTCAAATTTGATCATTTTTAAAGAAATGTAAACGATAAATACTGCTCTGTGGCTCTTTAATGTGTTGCGACAGAACATTGTAGTGACTCAGCAGCTCAGTTCAAGTGGCTTAAAGCATGAAATAAACATGAATGAACATCAGAAGGTATTGGTGGGAAAAATGGTGGAAAAACATCAGTACACACCGTTTTTCAAGTTTAAGTCCACCCACATTAATCTACTCTCCTGTCTGGTTTGTTTGCCGGACAGAAATGGCGGATTCAGCGTTATGATTGGTCAGATCACCTGTCACTCAAGCTCCCTGCGAAGCGTCAATTGATAAAAATCCTGCCCTATTTTGTTACTTCATGGTTCACCTGAAGTGATCACATTATGGTATTAAAATGTGTTGCGAATGCCATTTTATGTAGACTTGAAAAACTCAATAATGACTTTTTCCCTGAAGTTCGAATTTAAGTGTGACTTTTCAATAAAACTTTTAAAGTTCATTATAGTAAACGGGAATAGCATTTTGTGTTTCTCCAGGTAAATAAAGTCCTGCATAACCACAACATAAAGCCGCACTGGATGTTTGCTCTGGATAACATCATTCGAAAGGCTGTACAGACTGCCATCATCATATTAGTACCTGGTAAACAGCAACAGTTTCTATTTAAAACAGTCCATTCTCTTGGCTGCTGTTCGTTTATGGCAGGGAATTTGAAGGCCCCCGGTGCTGCGCATTTTGGATGTCCCCTTATTTAACACAACTGAATTGACTCTTCAGCTTACTGAGATCTGACCTGGTTGTGTCCAGTAAATGACATCCAAGATGTGCAGCCCTGGGGAGGCTCCAGGAACCGTTGATTTGATGTGTGTGTTTGTTCACTCTCAGAATTGCGGCCACACTTCACGCTGGCGTCTGAGAGCGACCCCGCTGAGCAAGAGGACATTGATGACGACACAGTTCCCCTTAAGGATATAGCGCCACCTATCGCTCATCATGACGACACTGTGGCCACATCTGGAGTGAGCACGCTCAGTTCAACAGTTTCCCATGAGTCTCAGAGCGCGCAGCGATCGAGTAGCATGGAGCTGGGTCGCATGAAGCTAGAAACCAAGAGGTAAGTGCTGGTGTTTTGTTTTATTTGCAGCTCTAATATATAGCACTGGGTGAATTTGTACACTGCGAATGATAGTGACGGACTCTGATGATCTGTAACAAATAATGCCAGTCAGCAAATAAGACTGCTCTGACTTGCGGTGTGGTGTAGGGGTTACTTTTACTTTTTGTATATAATTAAAGTGAATGGATAGATTGTCCATATGACTCCTGCTTTATTCCAGGCATTCTGAAGTAATTCGATAGCTATTTGTGAAGAACAAACCCAGACCCAGGTCATTATTCCACTGTAGCTTCCACGATTTTAAACACATCGAGATAGGACTGTTAGCAATAATTCTCTGATAAGCAATTCATCTGTTGATCATTTATTATGAAACGAACCAAAAGCCTACAATTTTTTTTCCCTACATTTTCTGTATTTCATAAAAAAAATATATTCTGTTTAGTTTTGGCCTCCAAACAATGGTAGAGCAGTTAAATGTTCTTCTGGAGTACACAAATTCACTCTGAACATGAGCTCCTTTCATATAGAGATTCTGGAAAAGTGCTGAGAAAATTGTTCTGGTAAGCCGGGGATTTTGCTCATTCACACAGATGTGACCCTGGAGCACAAAACCAGTCATAAGGGTCACTTTTTTTCGAAATTGAGATTTATACACCATCTGAAAGCTGAATAAATAATCTTTCCATTGATGTGTGGATTGTTAGGAGAGGACAATATTTGGTCGAGATACAACTATTTGAATATCTGGAATCTGAGGGTGCAAAAAAATCTAAATATTGAGAAAATCATCTTTAAATTTGTTCAAATGAAGTTCTTAGCAATGCATATTACTAATCAAAAATTAAGTTTTGATATATTTACGGTAAGAAATTTACAAAATATCTTCATGGAACATGATCTTTACTTAATATCCTAATGATTTTTGGCATAAAAGAAAAATTGATAATTTTGACACATGCAATGTATTGTTGGCTATTGCTACTTAAGACTGCTTTTGTGCTCCAGGGTCACATATGATCCCATAAAGATGAAGTGGCATTTTTTCCATAAAGACTATGTGAAATCTAATGTATTTATTGAGTAGCCCTGCTCATTCATTTTGATGTTGTTCTCGCATAAACAACTGCATTGTGTATGTTATCGGTCAAATAGTGGCAGAATGAATGTTATCACTATGACAAATCCTACAGAATCTGGCTTGCGTTTGAATCCTGGGAATGTCCTGAGCCTGGAAGCGAATTTTCCGGCATTCACAATTGCTCGATGAGTGCTATATAAACATACAAACAAATATAAGCCATTTATGTCGCCATATAGATTAGTACACGTGTGTTTATTTGCATTAAGTCGTACGTTTAACCACTCCAGACAAATTCCGTCATGATCTAAAGTTATAGACTTGCACATGACTGTGTTGGTTTGTGTGCTCTAGGCTGCTGGAGGAATTAATAGAGAAGGAGAGAGAGTATCAGGCCATCTTACAGCAAGTGCTGGAGGAGAGAGAACAAGAGATCAAACTATTGAAGAGTCGATCCGGGCCTACTGGTGAATCTAATACACACACACACATGCTATTCAAGCTCCAGACTGCAACTAAAAAAGATCGACGAGAGAAAAGACAAAACAGTCTTGAATATAAATGACCTCAATTTTCAGGTCATTTAAGGGTCAATTTTTCTAAATAAATAATCTTTCCATTGATGTATGGTTTGTTAGGAGAGGATAATATTTGGCTGAGACAACTATTTGAAAGTCTGGAATCTGACGGTGCAAAAAAATCTAAATATCGAGAAAATCATCTTTAGGAAATGTACAAAATATCTTCATGGAACATGATCTTTACTTAATATCCTAATGATTTTTGGCATAAAAGAGAAATGTATAATTGTGACCCATACAGTGTATTGTTGGCTATTGCTACAAATATCCCCCAGCGACTCAACACTGCTTTTGTGCTCCAGGGTCACAAATATGTGATACTGCTCTGTGGTACTTTGCTGTAGAAATCATATATACATGAGCAGCTTTCGTGAGAAAGTGTTCGGCAAACACAGACTGCCTGTCTCGACGGTCTTAACTCATTTCATAAGTTAATTAGAAAAAACATCATCATAGATAACAATCGTCTTTGTGATGTGACTTTGCATTTGCAGAGAAAATTGCTTTAATCAGATGGTTGTTTTTCATTTCTGTATTTTGTATTTCACCTCTTGCTATGTATTAAATCATTACGCTAGAATATAATATATCTAACTCTGTTTATGGCAGATGCTCCTGCACACTTCATGAGCACAAGTAGTTCATTGGAGCGAGAGGGAGACCAGGGACTTCTGGAATGGCTTAAACACCACGGGGCCGATGCAGATTCCATAGAGAGGGTAATATACAGAAAATAACTCCATTTGGTCACCAAACACTGTACATAAAAGCTGTGCTGTATGTATAAACAGATAATGGCATATTTTCTGTCCATATCACAGATTATATCTGAAGATTACAGTCTCGATGACATCCTTCATTATGTCACAAGAGACGACTTGAAGACTTTGAGATTACGGTGCGTGACCATTTCTGATATTCTGATATTTGTCTTTTTTTAAAGCTTATGTTTACTACAACTTCTCAAAAACTGCCAAGGACATTTATAGGTTTTATTTCTAATATTCAGTACACCACTGTTCAGAAAGTTAGGATCAGTAAAATTGTTTTTATGTTTTTAAAATAAGATTGAACTAATCTTAGTTCTGTGAAATGATTAAATTGCATCCATCGTTTACATAATATATGTGTGTTTATTGTGTATATTTATTATGTGAATATAAATACACACACATGCATGTATATATTTAAGAAAAATGTTGTTTATATATATATATATATACACATACACACATGTAAATATTTATACTTTATATACTTAATGTATGTGTATTTATATATATATACATAATAAATATACACAGTATACAAACAAAAACCTTTATTTTGGATGTTTGACAGCACTCATTTATTTAAAAAAACTAATATTGTGAAATACAACAATTTACAATAACAGTTTTCTGTTTTAATACATGTTTAATACATTTGCCATTAATCCAGTCATCAGTGTCACATTAAAATTGCTGTGGTGTGTAGTTTCTGCATTATTTTTGCAGTGTGTTGTCTGCTGAAACAATATCAAAAAAAGCCTCAATGCAATTTATTAACAGTCTTTTGCAATGTAAGCTTGTATAACGAAGCATTGAATTGTGGCATAAACGGCTTGTTCATTGTTTAGAAGAAGAAGAAGAAAAAAAGACGTTGTGTGTGTGGGACAGATGCACAAACACTTTCTATTGAATAAATCTAAATGAAATGAGTGTTATATTCGGTCATTTGTGTATTGGATTCCATTTCTTTGTAAATAAATTGTTTAGTTGAGATGTAAACGTGGCCCTTCTCCACACACAAATTCTGTTTCATGATGATAAAGTTCTTAGTGAATATTCTCAGTGGCACACCCTTAATAAATATTTTTATAATTAAATGGACATTTTAAAGGAAATATTCAATGTTGTAGTGATGCTGTGGTTTTGTATAATGGCATTGTTTACATTAGCTCTAGGATTATTACATTTCTCTGCTATGCACAGTCACGAGTAGTGTGTGATAGTGTTTGTTTTTTTCCTGTCTTGTGTTTCCAGAGGTGGAGTCCTATGTAAACTCTGGAAGGCTATCAGCGAGCACAGAAAGACGACAGCGATAAATATGTGCCATCCAGACCCTGCTCACGCGTTTGAGACATAACCAAATACTTAATGGGATCAATTCAAGTCTTTGTGATAATTCATATCGCATGTAAATATGTGTTTTACCTTTTTGATTCGTCTGTGAGATTGCAATTGTACATTAAAGGGGCGAATCGATGCGTTTTTGTAAGAAAAATATCCATATTCAAAAGGTAATAATCACTTTAATCTAGCTTGCACCAGCAGTTGTACACGGAAGCGGCTCCGGGCGGATGACGTATGAGGTCAGCGCTGCGCATGCGGTGCTCAGAAGTGACGAACGCGTAAGCACAGCGGAGAGATCAAAACAAAACAACGGTCACTTATTAGAAGTACAAAACGAGGATTTGTAAAGAAGAATGTCAGAGGATTTCGATATAAGCCAAGAGGAGACTGGTTTTCCTTTGCTAAAGTAAGGAAACTTTGCTTCCTTTGATCCTGTAAACAAACGTTGGTTTTCACGAGACTCACCGGCGCATGCGCAGCGCTGACCTCATACGTCATCCGCCCGGAGCCGCTTCCGTGTACAACTGCTGGTGCAAGCTAGATTAAAGTGATTATTACCTTTTGAATATGGATATTTTTCTTACAAAAACACATAGATTCGCTGCAGAAGGTCTTTGTTCACCCCCCGGAGCTGTGTGAGACACTTTTTTTTATGGATGGGCGATTTTTATTTAACTTCTTTTGGACTGATGCATTCAACACCTGCTGAGTGGCATTAAACAGCTTGAAAGATCAAAGACCATTTTTAATATAACTCCGACTGGATTCGTCTGAAAGAAGAAAGTCATATACACCTAGGATGCTTCGGGGGTGAGTAAAACACAGCCTAATTTAAATTTTTGGGTGAACTATCCCTTTAACTGTTGAAGATCCACACATTTGATGTGTGAGCGCTGTCATGACATCTTTATACAGGAAGCTTGTTTTATTTTTGATATTTGTTTACAGAAACATGTCTTGACCTGCCTGAGAACCTTTTTCAGCCCAAATCCCTTCTCCTTTCAGAAAGAGACACTGAACCTAAACACATACGAGTCTGTGTGTGTTGTTTTATATATTTGTTTATAAGGTATATTGGCACATAATATACCTTTTTTTAATCAAAGCTAGTTATATTTACTTATATTCTGAATTACAGTATCTATGAAGAAACACAATAACCAATCAAATTGTACTGTGTTCCCACATATTCGGGATGACAAATGAATAAACCTCTGAAATTGTTTATAAATTCCCTCAGAGGTACTTTCCTGAGATAATATGTAAGCTGCACTATGCTTCACTATCCAGAAGCACAGAGAATATATATCACAATTGAGCACTTATGTCTATTTATTCCGCACAAACCTCCAGGACCTTTTTAAATTTTGGAAAATTACCATTTTAGTTGAAATTGATGGCACTGCAAGTTTCTAGTGAAATCATAAAACATAAATAAGCACCTAATGACTTCATCTGGTCATTTCATTTCAGTGATTATTTATTTGTTTAGTCAGTGCTAGGTCATTGGAGGGAGAAAAGCTTAGTTTATATATTTATATATGCATATACAGGGCTATGTAATGTGACAAACAAGTTGGAAATCTGTGGTAAATGTTTGCATGATCATTGTTTTCATTCCAACTCTTTTGTGCAAATTTGAATTTCAATTTTGAAGCAAATAAAAACGAATTAATTCCAAAATTCCAGCTCATTTACACTTGTTGTGTAGAGGTATTTAATGTTTCTTGTTGTCATACTATGTGTAGATATGTCAATGTAAGAATGTACCTATTGCTTGCTAGGAATTCATGCCCAACCCTGCCTCACCCTCCTTTTCTTTGTTTTGTGAAACAAAAGACATTTTGAAGAACTTTGGAGTTTAAGCAACATAAGACTCTATTGAAGTTCATTGTATGGACCAAGAAAGTCTTTAGAATGGCTTCTTTTATGTTCCACAGAAGAAAAAAAATGAATAAATTCATACAGTTTTGTTATGACGTGAAGGTGACATGAGAGTAAATGATGACAGAGGTTTAACACCCAAAAGACTACATAATATACGTCACTACAAAGCTAAAAGTATCAACACATCATTATGCGTCCTGTATCACAAAGAGCTGCCAACCTTGCTGCACTGGAATAATTGGACCTAGGACAAACACATCGGAGAAATTATCTTATAGAGTGTTTGAGAAAAATAATTGAACATTGAGACAAACTACAGTGATTTATGGGTATCCTGAAACATTATGTCAGTGGCAACGCATTAACAAACAACTATCCAATTTTGTGGATCATTAGCCAAATGTAATGTTTATCAGGAAAGTCAAGAGAGAAGATCTCTTCAATGAAACGATGGATTTTGAAATGTCTGTCAAGTGAAAAGAGCTGTAAGACTCTTGACAGTTCATGTTCCTCTCCATCGTTGGATGCAATATTAGTTATGGTGTCTTGGGGCAGCACTCTGGGCTCAGCTCAACCCATCTTAACACACACCAAAAAATAAAACTGCAAACTGTCTAATAAACATATACTTTCATTCTCACAGGAAACACAAGGGTTACTTTACCCAATATATATATATATATAGGAACAGGATTGGACACCACTGACCTGTCATGTCTTAACAAACAGACCCAAAGTTAAAGGGGTCATATGATGCGATTTCAAGTGTTCCTTTCTCTTTGGAGTGTTACAAGCTGTTTGTGAATAGATAAGATCCCTAAAGTTGCGAAGGCTAAAGTCTCAAAACCAAAGAGATATTCTTTATCAAAGTTAAGACTCGTTCACGCCCCCCTAAAACGACTCGTTCTAACACGCCCCCACATGTCTACATCACTATGTGGGAAGATTTGCATAACGCCGCCCAAATGTTCACGCAAAGAAAGAAGGCATAACTTTATTGTTGCTGCCGCCGCCACCATGTCATGGAGACGCTGTGCGTTTCGTTGTGAAAGCGAAACTACTTTGTTCGGTCTTCCAAAAGAGGACACAACTAGAAATCAGTGTTCCAGAACACTTCAACCCAAATATTCAGATGTGTGCAGTAGGGCTGTCAAAATGTTTTTCAAATATTTGTCGAATTAATAAAAAAAAAATCCACATTCGAATGCAAAAACGTTGCATTCGTATTTTAGGTCTGCGTCAGGCAGCCTATCAGCGGCGCACGAGATGCGATGACGATGTAAGTGTCATTGATTGCATTTGAATGCTTTTGTTAGCCTGTCCAGTTGAAGCCACTAGATGCGGCGCTGCTACGTTGTTCATTCAATATATTGCTGAAAACGAGAGCATCAGTGTGGAGAAGATGTTGTTTACGTCAAAACTGAAACCAAGCCGTTCACACAGAACGTATATTTATCACATTTTCTAGAGGGACATCTATCAGCGTTGCACTCGCGTCTCGCACAAGAGAGCCGCATGTTTAGAAAGCC